TCACATTTACCCTAGAGAATTTGTCTCATTAAATTCTTTCCCCAAACTCGGGTCATGTTTAATTGTGCCAAGACGCAGTAGCTTCTCTAATAAATCGGGTAATTGGAAAATTCCATGGGCCACACCTTGGCCACGAAATATTTAATATCGGTGAACTTCGCCAGAGTTTCTCGGTGATGGAAAACGACCGGAGGCAACGCAATCCACGTTCGCTCCGTGACTTATTACATCCCACTGAAAGAGCCCTTCACGCTCAACCTAAAAAACGATCTAAAACGTACTATAAATATCCGCCTTCATGATAAACACATTTGTTTCCAGAAGTCTTGTTGGCCGGTAAATAAGCCCAGCCGCCGGGTGCGGGGGTGGCAAGGAGAGGTCGTTACCACTTTGGCGGCGTGCCTCACCCGGTCCTGGCCGGGCCGGCTGCAGGGTGGGATGACCTAGGCCAGATCGGACGGTCGCCACAGTCAAGGGCAGCGCCAAGACGCCAACAAAACCGGCTTGCCACGTGTCCGCAGCAGAGCAGATAATCGCGATCGTAGCCGCCGGGGTATAGGATACCACGGCCGGTCCAGACGTGACTGTCGAGCGCTAACCCGTCGGCCGCGGGCGTTTGGGATTGTTTCCCAGCGGCGCCGCGGCACCCAGTGCCCCCGGGCGGCGTATTTTGAGTTCCATCTTCGGACGGTCACGACGGGTCGGTGCCGATCGGGTCAGTGACCCCGCTGAGGCCGGCGGCGGCCCCGTTTTACCGTTTGACCTTGTCCAAGGTGAGCCAGCAGCAATCCCCCGGGGCGGGGCCGGCTTTTTATCCACTCTCCGAGCGACCCGCCGCGTCGCCGGGCCGCAGTCACTGCTCAGAAAACGCCGGCGCGCCCTCTGACTCCCGGCCCTCGCGACCGTCCCGACCGTTTTCGACAAAACACGGCCCCATTAGCGGGTCGGCGGCGCTGGGGTCGGGGGGGGGGGAGGTGGCCGCCGGGAGCGCCTCTCGCAGTACCCAGACGCGACCGGAACGCTGTCGCTGGTCCCGATGCCGTCCTCTGTCGTCTTCCTTCCGCTTGGCAGGCGTTCCGTTCCGCCCATCGGAGACAGAATACATTTGACGTCACCGCCCTGCGTCATAGCTCTCGTTAGACCGTGAAGCGTCATGGTACGGGAGCCTGGCACGCTCAGCAGAGGGTGGCACTCCGCCCTCGACATTGCCGCTGGAGGTGGGGCAAGACGATGACACGAGACAATTAGAGACGAATTGTTTTCACGGAAGCAAAACACATTGCACGGCTCAGGGGCGGCGCCTGCGACAGGGCGGCGGCAGGGCGGAGCGGCGCTCACAGCCGCAGAGGCACGAGACCACGGGGTGTGCCGGCGCGCGGCACTTTTGACCGGATCTCACGTGCCGACGTGTCGGGCGGCTCTGCAGCGTCGCTCGGCGGTCGGCCGCAGCCCATGTCGGCGACCGCGGCGCATCCGACCGGCCCGGCCCGGTCGGCTGTTGACCTCGGGACAGTGGCCGATGGTAGCCAGTCAACGGCACCTCCGCACCCGGCCACCCGACCGCCCGACCCGTCCGGTCGGTCGGCCGTCTGAGGCTCCGGCCGGACGCTGCACCGTGTCACGGAGACCCGTCGGGCGGAGCGGAGGCTGGCCGGCGGCAGGGCTGCGAGGCCGCTGAGGATCGAGCAGCATTGTTTTTAACGCCCGGTGCCACCGCTCGTTTATGCGACAATGCGGCTCAGAAGAGCTGCCGGGTGGATTCCTCGGTATCCCTGCGCTGCATCCGGTGAGGAGCGGCTGTCACTCTCGGAGGAGGAGCTATCGACCGCGCTGGAGGCGCGATCCCGCCCAAAGTGGCTCTCTGTGTTCGGTGTCGGCCGTTTCAGATCGGCAGTTAGGTGCGCAGAGTGTCTGGTGAATAGTTAACGCCCTATCGCACGCACCTCGCCGGGGAGGGGAGAGACGGCGCTCGCGCTGCCGGCGCCGTTCCGACGCTCCGCCGAAAGCCGCGCTGTATTCTGCATAAGCCGGGCTGATTCGGAGGGCGCCCGGCGACGGTGAGCGGGTGCAGGTCAGGGGCCGGGGTCAGGGGTCAGCCGCCGCTGCCGGCCGCACTGGGTGAAGGTCAGCGGGTGGTTGGCCTGGCTGGTATTCACCAGCCGCTTCATCAAGGTGAAGTAACGGCGCGCGGCTCCGGTCTTTAGTCAAACCACCTTCCAAAGAGATCGGTGTCGACAGGTTCGTTCGATGTTACACAGATGGCTATTTAAGTGGTTTGGTGACCACAAACGCTGGTTTGCTTGCTTGTCGAGTTGACCAAATGTTTCTCCTCATTCCTCAGCGCCATGGTTTCTCATAGTCAACTTATATCTCAACACAATAAAAACATTACCATTTTTCTACTTTTGGGTACTTACTCAGTACTACTCAGATATACCTAAAACATTTTTACCTGTTGCTAGACTACTGCTATGGCTACCTCAACAATGCATAAATCGTGGGCAAGAGTAGTGCTGACTCATAAAATTAAGACATTGGTTCCCTGTTATATGGTGAAAATTATATTGCTATTTAAGCGGTAGTAAAATTTCTCGTGACACGCCATTACCAAACACAGATGCCTTTCTTTTGACAGCCACTGTCTCAGTCGCGTGCCGCCGCATACATATGGCCGCTCGTTAACATTTTTACGCCTGTTTAAGTACCCGGCACGCAGTCGGTGTGCGCCGGGCAGCGGAGTGACCTCTGAGGTAACCTGTCCCGTCGCGGCGCCTCGCACCATTCCCAGGACCGACGGCCGCAATTCCCGACCGACCACTCGACAAAGTCGGCCTTGAAAGATTCGTTTGCACTGATGCCGGAGATAGCTGGTCCGGTCCCGCGACCTTTGTCGACAACAACACACTCAACAGTTTCGCAATGAGCGCGTTACGAGTGTGACTGCGCCGCACGTCGCCGCAAACTCTGCGACCTGAGGAGGGCACCAGTCTAAAGCTGACAGGCAATTAATACTGGGCTGACGTAGCTCTGGACTCTTGCAGAGCTGTGAACCCGGCGAATAATAGAATGAGGAACCTAAACAAGACATTTCAAACAGCTGAATGAAAGGAAATCGTTACTACATAGGTACGATGATTCAGCTTCTTGCTTAAAGAATCACATTAATTCCTGGCGAAATTTCGTTGCTATACTCGTATAAACAACATCCAATACCGTTTTCAGCACAAATAGCAAAGTAACATCTTTATGCATTCCGCTGATCTTAGCTAATTAGGTAGATTATTGATCGGTGGTAACTAAGATGCAGTGCTTTATATCCGAGACTCCCCAGCTTGCATTAGACTCTCTCATGCCGTGTTGAGCCGTGCACCGCCTGTTGCCCCGGACACTGGCGGCTGCGTGGTATCTGACGGGCGTGGGCCTCTGAGTGCCGCATCTGACGGGCGTGGGCCTCTGAGTGCCGCATCTGACGGGCGTGGGCCTCTGAGTGCCGCACCTGACGGGCGTGGGCCTCTGAGTGCCGCGTCTGACGGGCGTGGGCCTCTGAGTGCCGCGTCTGATGGGTTCGGACCTCTGAGTGCCGCGTCTGACGGGCGTGGGCCTCTGAGTGCCGCATCTGACGGGCGTGGGCCTCTGAGTGCCGCACCTGACGGGCGTGGGCCTCTGAGTGCCGCGTCTGACGGGCGTGGGCCTCTGAGTGCCGCGTCTGACGGGCGTGGGCCTGAGTGCCGCGTCTGACGGGCGTGGGCCTCTGAGTGCCGCGGCGCTCGTTATCGGTCAATGCCAAGGACGCGGCGGCGCCGGTGATTAGGCCGCTCTGAGAACCGGGACGGGCGCGGCTGCACGCTCGGCCCGCTGCGCGCTGCACACAGAGAGAAGCCGCAACACGTGCCGAGCCGCGGTGATTGGACGTGTTAGCAGCCCGAGTATGAGCGCCGGCAGAGCGCTATATGCCGCCCGGCCGGCCAGTTATTGGAACCGGCCCACCCGGACACCAGAGGCTGATTGTGCACAGCTGGCCCCGGGGCACATACAGTGCGGCGCCGAGAGACACGAGCTCTGTTTGTGATCGGTACGGCGCTGGTCTGCAGCCGCCGTTTTGCAAAATGTCCAACATCCTGCAAATTGCAGTGATGTTGTTTTCGGGCAAAAATGCAAAATATGAGAACCTGATACCAAGATTACAGCTCTTCAAAGAGACACGTTTCGCAATCGGAGAACCATTTCAAACTTACAACGTACCTACCGAGTGTGGTGCTATGACAGCTCTAGAGACTATAAATTGGCACGGCGGTTTTTTGTATCTAGCTTACGAAAACACGACATTCCTTATGCCGGCTCATAAAACAAAGCTTTAAAACGGACACACTGGGGTTAAATACAAGCATGTGCCTATTTTAGGTTATTCTGGGTAAGCAAAACACCGAAATCCTTTTAAGGAACATTTTGTGATCTATAAATTGCCACATGGGACACCAAACGGCACACAAAATAAATCGTCTATTCCATCCGCATACCCAATCAAAACCAAGCCGAAAATGACACAAAACTCATGCAGTAAATGAATGTGAGAATGACAGTGTGCTGACCCGCGGAAAGGTATGGAAATAGACGGCAGTCCCAGAGAAAAGCGTGCTCTGCGGGTTGCATACCAGGCCAGTGACTTTCCGCCTGGCCACCTAGTGGCAACGGAGAGAAGCAATACTTACAATCTCCCGCACTATCGACTGATTGGCGTATGTAGCGTGCGCTTTGCGGTCTACTAATTAAATTATTGTTACGCCCATCGGCGTAAAAAGCGGATACGTGTGATTTGATAAAAAGGATCAAACCTCTCCACTGAGCTGAACTAGCCTGCTGTTGACCGGTCCCGAAGCTGACCCGACCCTGCCCCCCCCCCCCCCAAGCTGCTGCCGACCTGCCCCTGAAGCTGCTGCCGACCTGTCCCTGACCTGACGCCGACCTGCCCCTGACCTGACGCCGACCTGCTCTGCCCACAGGCCGTCATGAGGAGTTCCGTGGCCGCCTGCGTCCTGGCGACGCTCGTGGCGCTCGGATGGACAGACACGATGCCGCGAGACCACGTGGAGAGCCCGCCGGACCTGGGCTTCAGCCGCACCAGCCAGCAGACCGTCGCCGCCGTCAGAGAGGGCGCCGTCAGCAGCGAGCTGCGCACACCCGCCGAGAATGGTCAGTGGACGCAGCCGGGTACCACCGCAGGGGGCCGGGGCACCGTCCTGGAACGGGAACTGGGGTACAGGAGAACGGGAAACCACCAACCTCAGCGCTGACCGAGCCCATCGTTATCTTTGGGACACGGTCCACAAGCTACGTTTCGCCAATAATTGGGAATTAACCCTCGCCCTGGCAGGACATTTTTCATAACACGGCCTGGCAGGGGGGGGGGGTCGATGCGACCCCCCCCCTCGCGATTGGCTCCTATGGCACCTAGAAACACCAAATTTGGTAGGTAGGTGGGCCCCCTGGAGTTCTCGCCCCTGTGCAAATTTGGTTGCTCTAGGTCAATATTTAGGGGGGTTTTGGGGGGTATAAATGTAAAAATTTCGCTTAAAACAGGTCAAAAGTTTTTCGCTTATAACTGTTGATCTATTTAGGATAGAGCAAAAAGAAAAGCACCAGTGAACTCAGCACGTCCAGGCGCGTCGAATGATATACTTTTTAGCTTGCTTAAGTGTACTTAAAGTTTTTCTTAAATTTTAAGTAAACTTAAACTTATAAATTAAGTTCAAGTTAACCAAATTGCATCATATCGCATATCATTCGATTCGGCTGATCACCAGGAACACAATAATACCATTTTTAAGCCCTAGCGTCATTATGTGCCAAGTTATTGGCAAAAACGTCATTTGACCTCAGTTGACCTCATTTGACCTGACCCATGGATAAGTACACCAAACAAAGAAGCACCAAGTGACTTGCTGTTAAGTACTGTGGTTTCAAAGCACAAAAGTGATGGAACGAAGCGGATATCTCCAGTATTTTCCGAATTTAGTATTTTCCCATAGGCTTAACATTACGACGTAATGACCTCTAACTGACCTCAGGTCAGTGACCTCAAAAACCCGAACTATATGTTATACAACTCGGTGAACTTAGCACATCCTGAAAGTTTGAAGGAAATCAGTCCAAAACTGTGAGTTGGACAGGTGCAAAAAGAAAATTGAAATTTGACCATGACCTTGTACCGATTTTTCTGACCTGGTGACCTGACCCTAGGTCACTCGGACCTGAAATTTTCAGGTCATATGTAAAAAGGTTGCCCCATAGGCTGTGTCAAATTTGGCGGCGCTGCGCGCCGCCGTTTTTACGCTATCTTCGAAAAACCTTAGGGGGGGGGGTCGCATCGACCCCCCTGCCAGGGCGAGGGTTAAAATGATAAATTAATCAGGAATATATGGACGTTACTTAAAATAGATTAGTAGAGTACGATCAAAGGACGTAGTCGATCCCCTCTATCACCCCGCGGTGCCTATGAGCGTCAGTGTTCCGGCCGCCGATGTCGCCATAATTCCTGTCTCTGGCTGACCGCGGTCCCGGTCCGCCGGCGCAGGTTACAAGATCGTCTGCTATCTGGGCGCGTGGGCCATCTACCGGCCGGAGCCGATGAGTTTCCGGCCGCGCGACGTGCAGGCCCAGGGCTGCACCCATCTCATCTACTCGTTCGCCGGGCTGCATAATTCCACGTTGGAGATGGTCAGCCTCGACCCCACCTTCGATATCAAAAAGGGTAAGCGAAACATGAACGTCGGTGTATTTGTGTTTGCTGTGAGTACACAACGCAGGGAAAGCGAGAAACCCTCTTGAGTTATTCATGCATCGCAGCTTTTAGTTCAAAAAAAGTTAAAGTTTGAAGTTGTTCTTATTATCAATTTAGCAAACACGGAAATATAGAGGAATAATAGAGAAATACATGAAGGCCAATGACCCCTAAAATATAAATAATTAGCTCAATAAGCATGCACTATCGGTTAAAAAAATAAGCCCTCACAATTCGCATAAATGCAAACTAAGAACCGTATAAATATTGTATCTGTAACATAGCATAATTATCATCTTGGGTATTTTTTATTCTAACGGCAGTCCTTTATAACGAAGTTCAATTCAGACCTGCAATCCCTGCCTATTTTTGACATGACCGCGACCTCCCGGCAGGCGGTTACGCCGAGGCCATCGCGCTGAAGAAGAAAAACCCCGATCTGAAGGTCATGATCGCCATCGGCGGCTGGGCAGAGGGCGGCAAGAAGTACTCGGACATGGCCAACACGGCAGAGAGTCGCACCAAGTTCGTCAACTCGGCAGTGGCCTTCATCAAGGAGCACGGATTCGACGGTCTCGACTACGACTGGGAGTACCCAGGTGCGGTACACCACAGCATCTGCACGGCTCAGATCAATGGGGGCGCTCATTTTATTTCACATCTCGCTCCCAAGAGCCCAGTTCTCGAGCTAGCAGTAATTTCCTTACATGAGATGACACAAAAAAAAAAACTTAGAGCTACCAGACTGCTATAGTTTTTAACCAAGCGTTAAATAGCTTGCAGTGGAAAAACACCATCCTGATTGATGTAGGTGGTGAAGTAGATTGTGGATTGTGTAACCTAAAACACAACTGCAAACTTCAAATGAACAATGCATGCAGGGCAAAGGCTGCGCTGGAGCATCCGACTAGTAAATTAATGTCTCTGTCATCGGGTGCGCGGATGAAGCATTGTTCACGTCCCGTGATCCAATTGTGGAAACAAAGGCTGGCGTAACTTGGGCCAGTGACCGATCGCAGCACGGAAAGCCGGCCCGTGACTTTGACCACCACTCAGCTACGCTGTGATAGTCGATATTTTACCTGATAAAACATGAAACGTGCTGGTAAATTGTCGCAATTCATTTCCATTCTACGCACGACGTGCTGAAACGGCAAATGATTTCGCTACGTGCAGACCTATATTCGCTTCGGTTTCCCAGAAAACTGGGGCAGACACCAAACGATACCGATTGTGCAGTAGTTAAGCTTCCAGAGCCACCGGACTCCTAGCATGGGTCAGATGGTCACTGTTCCTGTGCCAGGGATTAGACCAAACTCCCAAATCGCGGAGTTCTATCGCTGTCTAATATCATTTGCATATGGATTTCACACTCACGCACTGCGAACTAGCGCACAGACCGATTCCCCGAACTCTCGCCGTTTCTACCTCGGTCTATTGCCTCCCTGCCCCGGACTCACACCTCTCTCCGCGCCGACAGGCGCTGAGGACCGCGACGGCCGCTGGATCGACCGGGAGAACTTTGCGCTGCTCGTGGAGGAGACGTACGCGGCGTTCCAGCCGCGCGGCTGGCTACTCTCGGCCGCCGTCTCTCCGGCCGAGTTCCGGGTCAAGGCCGGCTACCATGTCAGCCGGCTCTCCGCCAAACTCGACTTCATCAACGTGATGACGTACGACCTGCGCGGCCCGTGGACCGGGTTCGCCGACCACCACGCGCCGCTGAACCGCCGAGAGACCGACAAATGGGACATGAGCAAACTCAACACGGTGAGCGCCCGCCGCCGCCGACTGGTGTCCGCCGCGGCCGCTAGATGGCAGCACGAGAGGCGCCTGAAGTTATGCTGTACCGCACGACCCGTGCTCTGCGCCCACCCGGCCGCTTACAATGCTGTGACCTGTACGCGCTGAAAATGACATTTTCTACAGTGAGACGTCCCGTTTGTTTTCTGCTTCTATGACCTGACGGCTGTATTTTCCACCGCAGCGGGACGGTTTGAAGGTGTGGCTAGATAACGGCGCCGACCCCAAGAAGGTGCTGCTGGGCGTGCCATTCTACGGCCGCTCGTTTGAGCTGCAGGACAGCGGCAGCACGTTGCCGGGAGCGGCCATCAAGGGCCCCGGACCCAAGGCCATGTACACACAGGTCAGTCGGCAGGCTCGGACACTACATTATTAAACGGGAGCCCGTGCTGGTCTATGGGCTCAAATGGAGACCGAGCAGGCAATATTGTTATTCTGAATAAGCCCAACTTAAGCTACGGGGCAGGTTGCGTTCAGTCGAAAACCATGGGTCACATATGAATACATAATAATATACCACACCTTGCCAAGTAATTGTGCTTATTCAAGAGTGACCTCCAGATTCAGATTAATTCATCAAGCTGGAAATAAATGCAGCCTACGCAAATTACCGCAGAGATATTCTTATTTCTACTAGAGGCACTCCAACTGGGTATAAGATCATGCGGCTTTATACAGCGCTGAATCATATTCATAAATCCACGTAGGTATTTCTAGAGCATATTTCACACCATCTAATGAACTCCCCTGTTTTGGCCGCGCAGGAGGAGGGCTACTGGGCCTATTTCGAGGTCTGCAAGAAGCTGGCCGCCGAGTCCGGTTGGACGATCAAGAAGGACACTGCCGGCGGGCCGTACGCCTACAAAGGAACCACCTGGGTGGGCTACGACGACTACGGATACGTGTCGAAAAAGGTGAGGCCCGTTAAAACACCACGGCAGCGGTCCGCTGAAGATAGCATGCATAGACCTAAAACACAAACTCTCACTCAGAAACTATGATCTCAAAAAGTATGGCTAATAAGCGCTATGACATTTGGCATCCTCACATATTTCGTTTCACTCTGACCACATTGTCTCCTCAATCTCAGATGGACCTGGTGAAGGAGCTGGGTCTGGGCGGCGGCTTCATCTGGGCCATCGACCTGGACGACTTCAGCGGCAGCTGCGGCGGCAAGTGGCCCCTGCTGCGGGCCATGAACGAGAAGCTGAGCATGGCCGGCAGCTCGGCGATGGCGGCGCCGACGCCGGCGCCAGTTCCGGAGACCACCACAGCCGCACCAGTCACCACCACCACCACCCCGGCCACCACCACCATGATGGAGAAGCCCTCCACCACCACCAAACGTGAGTTGAAGACCGCCACATGCAGCTGGTACGCAGAATTCCCGGTTCCACTGTGTAGGATACTTCGGCTACTTAAATCAATCTGTGAAATTAATAGGTGCAGGTAGTTCCTGAAAGAAAAAAAATCTGACATTTTTAGATTGTTGTACCGGTCAACGAAGCGTAAAGCGATTGCTTACTAGTCGGAAAAAACGCTTTTGTGATGAAACACTTGTTCAAACATATTTTCTTTTTACAAACAGTAGGATATACACTATAAAGGGGTACCAGCGCATAATTCCGGCCCATTCACGCCCGTCTTGCATATTTTCCTCGTAGACATATCTGCATTCAAAGCAGTAACGGTCTTTTCGCCGACGACAATGGCTGTCGCGGCCAGTTGCGGCCTGACCAGGTGGCCGAAAACATCTCCCGGTGTGGCATTGTCACCGGTGCTGAATACGCGTCCTGTCCTGTCCTGTCGTGTCCTGTCCCGGCGGGATCCGTGTCCGACAGCCGTCCGCACAGCTGACGTCAACACTGTAATCATGCGCGAACACGGCGCCGGAAACAGGCGACAGCGTCTTTTACCGGCCTGCTCCCACCGTCTCCACATGGAGAGCGAAATGGAACAGCGCCACATTCAGACTTATGCAGGCAAAGTCAATAAGGCTGTCGTGATACGGTACACAAAAGCGGTATAAAAATATTCATCTTCTGGACAACATGCACTCCTCCTCTACTTGATGTAGGCACACTGCTGATCCAGGTCGGACCGCTCTGGCCACCGCTGACCGCTGACCGCTCCCTCTCCTCAGCGTTGATGCCGTCTACACCCATGCCGTCTAGTGCCACTCCCCGCTCCCTCCCCACAGCCGCTGCCGTCCAGTGACGCCACTGACACTCCCCGCCCCCTCCCCCAGCGCCGCTGCCGTCCAGTGTCGCCACTGACACTCCCCGCCCCCTCCCCCAGCGCCGATGCCGTCCACGCCGCTGCCGTCCAGTGACGCCACTGACACTCCCCGCTACCTCCCCCAGCGCCGATGCCGTCCACGCCGCTGCCGTCCAGTGACGCCACTGACACTCCCCGCTACCTCCCCCAGCGCCGATGCCGTCCACGCCGCTGCCGTCCAGTGACGCCACTGACACTCCCCGCCCCCTCCCCCAGCGCCGATGCCGTCCACGCCGCTGCCGTCCAGTGACGCCACTGACACTCCCCGCCCCCTCCCCCAGCGCCGATGCCGTCCACGCCGCTGCCGTCCAGTGACGCCACTGACACCCCCCGCTCCCTCCCACAGCGCCGATGCCATCCACGCCGCTGCCGTCCAGTGACGCCGAGTTCCAGTGCCCGTCGGACGGGTTCTTCCGCGACCCGTACAACTGCCAGGTGTACTACCACTGCGCCAGCGGCGTGGCCTTCAAGTCGGTGTGCGCTGACCAGCTGGTGTTTGACTCGGAGAAGAGCGTGTGCAACTGGCCCGGGGATGTGGCCGACTGTCCCTCCGGCACGGCTGCCAACAACGGCATCGGTGGGTGCCAGGGCCGAGGCAGCGGGACGGTCCCATGGGGTACCTACCGAGAGGGACCCGTTTCATCGACCTTAGTTGCTGCCAACTAATAGATTCAGCTGACTCAGATGGTATTCTTAGGGCAGCAAATTAACGAACATTTAAACAAACCAAAATATGTGACTAGTCCAGTGGTTATCCATTTTATCTTACTGCACTAAATGATCGAATCTACCCATTACGATTACCTATTACGATACTATACATAAGTATGGGCCGCCAGCGATAAGAATGACGCTAACGCAATGACAATGACACTGACGTGCGCCTCCTCTCAGCAGTCGGGGGCCTTTTCCCCGACACTGACGTGCGCCCTCTCCCAGCAGTGGTGCGGGAGCAGGCGGCGTTCCGGTGCCCCCGGTCCGAGAGCGGCTTGTTCTCCGACCCAGACGACTGCAGTATGTACACCTGGTGTAACGCCGGGCGCGCCGTCAGACTCACCTGCGGGCCCTACATGCGCTTCGACGCCTCCATCGGCGCGTGCAACCACCCGCGGGCGGTCAGGTGTCAGAGCGGCGTGACCACCAAGGTAGCGCTGGACGTGGCCACCACGCGCGCCGCCACCAAAGGTGAGAGAGCTCAGAGACACACGAGCCGCTTTAAACACGGATGGCAGCATAATTAGCGCCGCAGAATATGTAAATGAATGCGTATCTAAGTGCTCGTGCTGTTGAAAAGACTGCATACGAACATTCACGTCTGCGTGCGGAACAACTCGGGTGTGATTAACAGGTCTAGAATAATCTGGACTCCTTCCTCATATTCAAACAACCTCCTACAAGGCGAATGGTATATTTGATGACTGCAATGGATGATTGTCTATTTTATTTACACATCAAACGACTGTGTAGGCCATCTCAGCCGCTCTATTGGACTCATCGGGCGTTTTTTAATGACTCCCAGGATGTTTTTATGAAGGCGCTGCTCTAACGTGCTCGACCCGGGTATTAAGCAGGGGTCCAAATCTAATTTTGCCGATGACTGACTTTTGACGCAGCGGACCAGCAGCTCACGTCACTAAAAATGTCATCACAGCATTTTCAAATTTAACACCTTGAGGAGTAAAAGAAGAATTGTGTCGCTGATAAACCTAAAGAAAACGTGTCGCATTTTCCATCTGCATCAATTTTCAAGAGTTTGAGCATAAATAACGCCGTGATGGTAACAAATAAGCCAATATTTTGTACCACAATTGTGATCGGTGTAACCAAGGCAATAATCTTGGGTCGAGAATAATGCCTAAGCATGCGACAGCCAGTAAGCGATGCGCAGTTCAGACAAGTGGCTATAGCTCTGAAAGTTGAAATCGTCAAAAATTCCACAGCCCGAACCAACATCTGACGAGTGATTTTGTCCTCCATCTCTCCCTTGCTCTTCCTAAATCTGACGCTCCTTCCCTCCCACAGAGAGCCGCGTGGTGTGCTACTTCACCAACTGGTCGTGGCGCCGCGCCGGAGCCCAGTACGCCCCCGAGAATGTCGACCCGTCGCTGTGCACCCACCTGGTCTACCAGTACGCCGTGCTCGACCCCAACAGCCTGACACTCGAGTCGTTCGACGAGAGGACCGACTTCGAGAGCAGTGAGTGCCGACGGGCCCGCCCCGCTCCTTTGTTTGAAGCACGGTGGTTGACGCACTCGCCGCGGCCTACCGGCTGGCTAGGAACGCCGAGACGTGGAACCAGTCGCCGGCTGATTGGAACGCGACAGCTCAGTGCATTTGTTTGTTTGAGTTGTCGTTCGCAGGTGTTTGTACCAACTTCGAGTTTGTTCTCCGGCCAAATTTCACAGCGACTGCCTCAAAGTTATAGGCTGCTCGACTGACTGGAAGGCCAGTAGAAATGAGAAACCAAATGGTGATCGGGATAGTTGCCCTAGTTGCCGATCGTTACTTAGATAAATATAGTCGTGCCTAAAGCACAAAGCGCTTCGAGTGCCATCTGTTAGCTTTGTTCCGTGATCCTCAATGCTTGCTTCGAGTGAGCCGGATTTGTGGTAACATTGAAACGTCACCTAACAACAGCTGCCAGGAAAACGCTCCACAGCGTACTTGAACAAGTTGATTTGTAATATTTATCTGATGGCGTTAAGGTGGAAACAAAATTCAGCAACATTAAAAATAAATGAGGACTCGGTACGAGTATTTCATCATCAATGAATGGAGTGCCTACAACTTTGCACCGAGTAAAATTTAAGCATTATAAGCCACTCGCGGTAAGCCTTCGCCAAATACCTGCTTCATGCTTACTGAATGACGGTCATATGGGCATTGAGTTTCTGAAGTTGAAACACTTTATAGGAGTTGTTGTAGTGCAAACAAGCTCATTATAATGTCCAACAAAGAGGTTTATTTGTAGACAAAGTACCTCCCATCTTCATGCTCCCTAACCTGATCCCTAACCGACCCTTCTATCCCCGCAGACTTTATCACACGCATGCGCGCTCGTCTGGGCTCGTCTGTGGAGATGCTGCTGGCCGTCGGCGGCTGGACCGACTCAGTGGGCGACAAGTACAGCCGAATGGCCGCCACGGCCGCCTCGCGCGCCAAGTTCGTCCGCTCGGCCGTCCAGTTCGTCACCGAGCACGGCTTCGACGGCCTGGACCTGCACTGGTCGTTCCCGGGCTGTCCGCAGGGCGACTGCCAGGACGGCTCGGCCATGGACCGGGCCAACTACGCCCTCCTGCTCAAGGTCAGCTCAGAGACCGATAGCGCCGGGTCGGTGCCGTGACTGACAGCGCTGATGGATGGGCCGCTGTCGGGACCGATCTGAGAGGGATTTAATAAGGGATAAATAGCGTTAACGATGGGCATTGATAATTCAGCCTTCGTCAGCCTAAGTCGATCAATCATATCGACGCCAACTATTGAAATTGCTATACGCTCGTAAAAACGATAAGAGAACAAGGGATGCAAATAAATTGTCATGCAAACCAGTTTTGTTAATGGTCAACGACCTAACTTGTTTCGGGTGATGATGTCGAGTACCAATACCATCCCGATGTGATCTCCAATCAGACCAGTACCTACTGACACCGTCCCCGCTCGTCCCCGCAGGACCTGCGTGCCGCGTTCGACGCCGAGGGCGGTAACCTGCGCCTGACGGCTGCCGTCGCCGCGCACCACCACATCATTGGCAAGGCGTACGACGTGCAGGCGCTCAACAAGTACCTGGACTTTGTCAACCTGATGGCGTTCGACTTCCACGGCGGCTGGGAGGCCGTCACCGGCCTGGTGGCGCCGCTCTACGGAAAGAACGCCGCCGACCGAGACAGCGTGGTGAGTGGGGCGGATAGAGGTCGGCACGGGCGGCCGACGGGCCGGGTAGGGGACAGCGCGGACGGCGGAGGAGCCACCTAGGTGGCACTAGAGTCCAGGGTGGGTGAGACGTGACTACGCCAAGCGGCGGAGGGTGTGCTAGGTAGCAGCAGTGTCTGGCGCGAGGGATAGGTGGCAGAGCAGGCACAATTAAGATCACGCCGTGCTCACAACATTTGTACCACTGCTCGAGGCTCCTCTCTCAGTTGAGCCCACACACGTAAATGACTACATGACCTCACTCGTGAGTCGTGACTCGTCAAATTCATTGACGTTCATTTCCACCGTTCCATGCTTCTATCCTCAGGATGCAGAAATCCTTCTCCTCCACGCCGCAACCCCCCTCCGGGCTGGACAGGCAACTTTATCTCATGCGGGCTGCTCCCTTGGAGCGGCACCGCTGCTCCCGAGGGAGCGCACCCCGTAGCCGGATGCAGTGAGTACCTTGGGGCTGGCCGGCCTGTCCTTCGGGATGGGCTCAGCCCCGGTGACTCACTAGGGTGCCTGCCCAGACCAATGCCTCCCCCTAATTCCTATCATCCTTCCGGCTCTGAAATGGTCTAATTGGACCGAAAGGGCCTAACCCAACAAAAAAAAGACGTTCATTTCCACAATCCATCGCAGGACGGTGCAGTCAAGACATACTCCCAAATGGGTCTGTCCAAGAGCAAGATCGTCGTGGGCATTCCGTTCTACGGCCAATCCTACAAGCTGGCGACCGGGGGTCACAGTCTGGAGGCGCCGGCCGCCGGGCCCGGCCTGGCCGGGGAGAAGACACAGCAGAGGGGCATGCTCGCCTACTACGAGGTCTGCTTCAGACGTGAGTGGTGATAGGAGTCGCCGTCGGACTGGGTGTGTCTCTGATACTTACGGTATTTGGTAGCATTCCATAATTATTATATCAACCGTGAACAAATCCATCCAACGTAGACACATCTCCTGCAATCGAAACGACGCTGACACTGACACTATCCTCAGCAGTTTGCTTCTGATCTCTGAACGTTTGACGTCTAGACCACTGACTTTTGACCATTGACCTCTGAAGCATCATCTCTGACCTTTGACCAGTGACCTCTGAAGTATCACCACTGACCTCTGACCGGTGACCTCTTAAGTATCCCCGCTGACCTCCGCCCCTGTCGTTGCAGTGCGCACGGGCTGGATGTCGAAGCGCTCGCCGCAGGGCGCGCCGTACATGTACCACAAGGACCAGTGGGCTAGCTACGAGGACGTCCGCTCCATCCAGGACAAGACGCAGTACATCAAGTCCAACGGACTCGGCGGAGCCATGGTCTGGACCATGGGTGAGTAACCGGGTCAGACATCCCGATACAAGACGCCCATCAGTAGCTCGTGAAGCATAGGTTTTTGCCCCAGGATTTTGGCCTTCAGAATCATGCAACTACGAAACATGTTTGAAGTTTTACTTGTTCACCTTCTCATTCAAAAATACTCAGGTTTCTCTACATCGCATAAGGCATTCATGAGCTAAATTTACTCAATACTAAGTAACTACAAAAATAACTTGAGTACAAACACGTTCACGAGCTCTTTGACCTATGATCTAGTTATGACCTGTGAAGAAAATAAATTTCAAACGATCTGTCGAAATTCATCAGCTAGTAATGATCTCTGACCATCTTTGATCGTTCCTCTCGGCGGCAGACCTGGACGACTTTGAGAACGACTGCTGTCTGGAGCCTCAGCCGCTGTTGCGTGCCGTCTCGCGCGGCCTGCGCGGCGTGCCGGCGGCGCCCAGCCAGCCCTCGTGCACCAAGCCGCCGCCAGTGGTGACGCCCGCGCCGCCGCCCATGACTACCACATACGACTCCGGATCCAGTGAGTGGACCCGGCGGAACCCGGCGGAACGGGTCCGAGGGGAAGGAAAAGACTGGGCATATTGGGACATATGATTGGCGCCTCCAATGAAAATGGAATTCAGAGCAAGGCTGAAAAACTATACGCTTCCCACAAAGTTTAAAAAGTAATTTAAACTAAATTCACCAATCATCCAGATCGTTCACCATTTGGAAATAAGGCAAAGCAACATTGCTGATATTTTTATGCGAGCATTGGAGCATAATAAATTGTGCGATGATTACTACTCTTCACTAACGTTGATTTTCTTTTTCAGTTGCAGGTAACAACCCGACCACCTGGCGTCCGAGCTCGTCCACGTCCTGGATGGCGCCCACCACCGCTCCCACCACCACGACCACGACCACGACCACCACGACCACGACTCCTACCACCACCACCACCGCCTCCACGACCACGGCGGCCGCCGTCCCTGAGCCGGGCGCCACCACGCCGCCGCCCAGCAACCTGCAGTTCAACGCGCTCGGTTTCGCGCCGGACCCGAACAGCTGCACGGCCTACTACCGCAACACGCCCGAGGGGCCCACCATGCTGAAATGCTCGCAGCCGCTGCACTTCAACCCGGTGACCAGCCAGTGCGACTGGCCAGAGGCCGTCGGCTGCACCATCGGTGAGTGGAAGACGGGCAGGGAGATGTGGGGTGGACGTGAGAGCAGGGTATTTGTAGGCATGAGGCTAGTTGAAATTCATTCAGGCCGAAGAGACATCGCCTTGGGCTGAAAAGCATAATATATCAACGTCTGCACATTACAATACAAAACCAATGGAAATGCAGGGTTTTATTTGATTGAATGTCACCGAGTCAAATAATTTGTCCCATTCAGTGTGACAGCCAGTAATTTCATCGCTATTTATTGGGTACTGAACGATCTAAGCGTAAGAAGATTGCACAATGCATCCTAAGAAAGCATGAGGATCATTTTTCACCACAGTTAATTTTCAAGGTTAACTCAACTGTCCCGGCTCTGCCCCTCAGAATCGGCGAAGGGCGAGTCTCCGTCGTCGACCACGATGAAAACGATGACCCGCACCATGAGTCCGACGACGACCACCGAGGAGCCGACGACCACCATGAGGCCGATGACCACCCGGACCACCACCATGAAGACCACCACCATGGAGACCACCACCATGGAGGCCATGACGACCACGCCGGAGAACGAGCAGCGCGGCGAGGAGCCCTGCAAGGACGGTGAGCGACACTCACTTCGTCGACCGGCCATACCTAATGACACTCACATTTGTCTGTTTCCGTAATTAACAGCACTGCTACCGAATCGTAAAACAGTGTGAGGTCGAGGACTAAGGACCAACACTAGAGGGAACCGAAGCTTATCGTAAGCTACCCCCAGCATATTGGGAAAATTGTCAGGCATTGTTCTCGCTGACTGCTAAGCCTCCTCGGGCGCCCCAGCTGAACCTCCCGCCGGTGTTCCTCAGGCACCACAGCTGACCCTCCCGCCGGTGTTCCTCAGGCACGTTCATGGCCATACCGGGCCAGTGTTCGGCCTACAAGTGGTGTCTGGGCGGCATGACCTTCGTGCAGCAGTGCGCCAGCGGTCTGCTGTGGAACCCGGACCGGCAGATCTGCGACTGGCCGGACAACTTCGAGTCGCCCTGCAACACCGGTACGTAGCAGGCAGTGGGCTACGTGCGCTGACTGCTGAGGGGCATCAGGCTCGTTACAGTACGCATGCTGTCAAATTTCATACGTACCTGTACTCTGATTTAAATGCAGTTTGCGATGAGCATTTTTCCTATCCGATGACATCAGGCCTAGCGATACTGTTGAATCAGAGACGTGAATAGCATCTTCAGTGCAAACTGCAAAGGGATGTGACCAAAACTTCCTCTTCCCACCAGGCATGGCTTCCGCTATCACCGAGGGACAAATGGCCGAGAGCTCCAAGCCTGCTGGTGAGATGACCGACAGTCAGATGACTGAAGGACAGATGAGCGGAGGTCAGATGTCCGAGAGCCAGATGACCGGTGGCCAGATGACCGGTGGCCAGATGACCGAGGGTCAGATGACCGAGGGTCAAATGACTGGTGGTCAGATGACTGGCGGCCAGATGACCGGCAGTCAGATGACTGGCGGCAGTCAGATGACCGGCAGTCAGATGACTGGTGGTCAGATGACTGGTGGTCAGATGACTGGCGGTCAGATGATGACCACGACCGAGGTGGCCACCACCGGGAAAGATAACACCGGTAAGCGTTACTATGTAAGACCATTCCCGATCACTTCATACCTGATTGTTACGTTTTGACGCTTTTGACTAAACAAAACCAGATGTTTCCACAAAAAATACCTTTTTATCTGTATCATAACTGAACGTTGCAAACCTTTGCAGGCCCAATATGGCATTATTCTCCGTTTAAATGTTGCATGCTTTCACACATACTTGGTACAAGATTGCTGATTTTCAATAGAGAACAAACATACAATAGGGAACATTCGATAGACTTGAATATTTTTATGGTAAAAAACGTGCCCTCAAACCACGTGCTACATTTTCAGAATACAAGATGGTGTGCTACTTCACCAACTGGGCCATGTACCGTCCCGGCATCGGCAAGTACACGCCCGAGGACATTGACCCGTCGCTCTGCACACACATCGTCTACGGCTTCGCCACGCTCGACTACTCCACGCACAAGCTGCGCATCTTCGACCGCTGGGCCGACATCGACAGCCCCAGTGAGTTACATTTGATATCATCAAGGCATGTTTCTGTTTTACTTTGATATAATGAACAACCATAAAAATTAAAGCGTAGAAATGATGCCGTGCTTCGTTTCCGTTCACCAACCCGTTCTTACTCTTACAGACATGATGTACAAGAAGGTAACAGACCTGAAGAAGAAGGGCAAGAAGGTTCTGCTGGCTGTCGGAGGCTGGAACGATTCCCAAGGCAGCAAGTACAGCAACCTGGTCAACAACGCCGCATACAGGAAGATCTTCATTGATGACGCCATCGTGTTCCTGAAGGAGCACAACTTCGACGGTCTGGATCTCGACTGGGAGTACCCCAAGTGCTGGCAGGTGAGTTCGACGGCGCTTTCCTTGAGGCTGCGACTCTTTGAGGTTCTAAAAGCCGCGATACTTATAAACGGTGCGCCTAAATTTCAAAAGCATGATAACCTGCGGCATGACTCAAACGGTCGGAATTCCGGTGCCGACTGAACATGACATGGTATGTCTCTCGCGTACAACACATTTATCTTTGTCTAACTTAGTCTAATTCTTGTGACCATTTCGCCAGGTGGACTGCTCCAAGGGTCCCGACAGCGACAAGGAGATGTTTGCCGCCTGGGTGCGCGAGCTCAAGATGGCCTTCAAGGAGCACAACCTCTTGCTGTCGGCCGCCGTCTCGCCCAGCAAGAAGGTCATCGACGCCGGCTACGACGTGCCTGAGATCAACAAGTACCTCGACTGGATCGCCGTCATGACGTACGATTTCCACGGCCATTGGGACAAGAAGACCGGACACGTGTCACCATTCAAGGCCCATCCTGAGGACGACTACGACTACTTCAACACGGTTAGTCACCGGCAAAAGATACAGAATCTCTGGCTAATATGTAACTATGTTAAGAAAACAGAACGAGCTTAGTGTCGTGCTTCGGCTTTATGACTAAATATATGTAGTGGACATTGGAAAGAATAGGTGCCATAAATATTTTGATTAAACATACCCTCAATAAAAAGCTCTTCAAGATGCTTAATGCTCTCAAGTTTTGATAAAGACCTTTCCGAGTCTACACGGAAGCACTTCTAACCACGGATGCCTTTTTCCCCACAGCAATCAGCTATCGAGCACTGGATCGCCAAGGGCGCGTCCCCTCGCAACATCGTGATGGGCATGCCGCTGTACGGCCAGTCGTTCACGCTGTCCAACCCGTCCAACACCGGACTGAACTCTCCCATCTCCGGAGCCGGAGAGGCCGGCACTCAGACACGCGCCAAGGGATTCCTCGCCTATTACGAGGTGAGACCACACGACAGCTTCGATTTCAATGCTTGCACCACAACGGGACTCAATGAATCATCAGAAAGGTGTTGATGCGCAGCTTGAGGTTATGCATTGAAAGTGAGCGATGTTAGAATAACCCTAATTTATGTAAGCGTTCCTGAACTAATGATATTCTCTTTTCCACAGATCTGCCAGCGCCAGAAGGAGGGCTGGACCACCGTCCAGGACCCGGAGAACCGCATGGGCCCCTACGCCTACAAGGGCAACCAGTGGGTGTCGTTCGACGACAGGGACTCGCTGCGCTACAAGACCCAGTGGATCAAGGAGCGCGGTCTGGGCGGAGGCATGATCTGGGCGCTGGATCTGGACGACTTTAACGGTGTGTGCTCCCAGGGCAAGTACCCGCTGCTGACGGTGATCGCCGACGGCCTCAACATCAAGGCCAACAGCGGAGGCATGAGCTCGGCTGCCTCCGTCTCCGTCGAAGGGGAGATGGGCGGCAGCAGTGGCAGCATGTCAGCCACTGAGACCACGACGACGACCACCACCACGACCACGGCCGCCACCACCTCAGCGCCGCAACAGCCACAGGTGGGTGCAACACTTGACAAAAAGGAGCTTTTCTTTAGTTTCGAACGATATATGTAAAGACGAGAGAGAAGTAAATATCCAACACTTCATTCATGCAGCTTCGCAAGTGTTCTGTAAAACTATCATTCATCAAATTGACCTATAGGTACTTATTCATCTTCTTCATCTTTGCTTTCAGACGGGTGGTAAATGCAGCAACCAGGGCGAGTACCGTCCTCACACCGACTGCAACAAGTACCTGCTGTGCAACAACGGCGAGTACCTGGTGATGTCGTGCGCAGCCGGTCTCCACTGGGATCCCAAGCGGGACATCTGTGACTACGCCGAGAACGTCGACTGCGGAAGCCACAAAAAGGTACGCTCAGAGATATACACGTCACATGCGATGCATAGAAGCGATGCCGATGTGATGTAAGCTCATAGCTAGAGTGTTTTGCAGTAGTGAACTTCATAGCCATTCAAATATTATCTCACCCTAACCTTCCATATTTTCGTTTCCAGTTGGAGGGCAAGGTGGATCCACCGACAACCGAGAGCACAACTGAGAAAATGACCACGAAAATGGCTCAAACTACCAAGGCACCAACTTCCTCACATGAAATGATGGTAAGCAATGGAGAGAACGTTAGACGAAATACCAGGTTTTGTGCTATGTGAAACCATGAAAATAGTCCTAAGATAAGATTTTCGATGTCAAATTATGCGGGTCATCAAACAGTCAGTTTGATCAGTTTGTTTTAGATGACATTCACTTTTCGACACGGAGAAATAATCTGCAGTGGTTAATTGCAGGATGGTTAAGGGGAAGTGGAAAACTTGGTCTGAACCGATCCGTATTTTCAGATGCCAGGAATGGGTGCACAGAAGTCGGAAGGTGGATACATGATGGTGTGCTACTTCACCAACTGGGCCATGTACCGTCCCGGCATCGGCAAGTACACGCCCGAGGACATTGACCCGTCGCTCTGCACGCACATCGTCTACGGCTTCGCCACGCTCGACTACTCCACGCACAAGCTGCGCATCTTCGACCGCTGGGCCGACATCGACAGCCCCAGTGAGTTACTTAGAATATTACCAGTGCATATTTGTGTTTTACTATGATTATATAAACAAGCCGTTGACAAATTTAAAGGCGTGGGAATAGTGCAGCATTTCCTTTTCAATCATCCGCCCGTTCTTACTCTTACAGACATGATGTACAAGAAGGTAACAGACCTGAAGAAGAAGGGCAAGAAGGTTCTGCTGGCTGTCGGAGGCTGGAACGACTCACAGGGCAGCAAGTACAGCAACCTGGTCAACAACGCCGCCTACAGGAAGACCTTCATTGATGACGCCATCGTGTTCCTGAAGGAGCACAACTTCGACGGTCTGGATCTCGACTGGGAGTACCCCAAGTGCTGGCAGGTGAGTTCGACACCAAACTACTGCATGCTCTTCAAGAAGCTATGACGCTAGATTTTTTCTTGGTGGCGGAACAGGATATCCAAGTTTCAGTGGGGAAACATGTCCATTTAACGCAAACTGACTGTTATGTGTGTCACTTTGCCCTGTAGGGTAAAAACATGAAACGCATTTTCCTTGTAGAAATCATCCCTTGTTTGGTCAAAACTACTAATTTCTTAGCCGACACCTCATCAACGTCGAAAAGTGAATCAACGTCAAGCACCTCAACGGGTTTTGCATCACAACTAACCCTTTTCTCGTTGCACCCTATAGGTGGATTGCTCCAAGGGTCCCGACAGCGACAAGGAGATGTTTGCCGCCTGGGTGCGCGAGCTCAAGATGGCCTTCAAGGAGCACAACCTCCTGCTGTCGGCCGCCGTCTCGCCCAGCAAGAAGGTCATCGACGCCGGCTACGACGTGCCCGAGATCAACAAGTACCTCGACTGGATCGCCGTCATGACGTACGACTTCCACGGCCACTGGGACAAGAAGACCGGACACGTGTCGCCCTTCAAGGCCCATCCCGAGGACGACTACGACTACTTCAACACGGTTAGTCACCGGCCATTTTTTCCGAGATTCGAAAAAAAAGCTATGCCGACAATTTCTTCGTAATGTGTCCCATAACTCTGTATCGTGCATAAATGCTAAAGAAGCAAGTTTAATGTCATTAACGGCCGTTTCTCATGAAAGACTAATGATGATTTGATATTTTCCCCCACAGCAATCAGCTATCGAGTACTGGATCGCCAAGGGCGCGTCCCCTCGCAACATCGTGATGGGCATGCCCCTGTACGGCCAGTCGTTCACGCTGTCCAACCCGTCCAACACCGGCCTGAACTCGCCCATCTCCGGAGCTGGAGAGGCCGGCACTCAGACACGCGCCAAGGGATTCCTCGCCTATTACGAGGTGAGACCACAGGACAGCTTCGATTTCAATGCTTGCAACACAACGGGATTCAATGAATCATCAGAAAGGTGTTGATGCGCAGCTTGAAGTTATGCATTGAAAGTGAGCGATGTTAGAACCAGTAAAACGCCTTTTGGGCGAATAACGAGCGAGCGAGATAGTGAGCCCTGCACGTGCGGAAGGGCGAGAGGGTACTTCCAACAGGCCTGCGCAAAGCACCCTTCTAAACGGTCGTAGCGGTGTACCAAATTTGAATGCAATCGGCCCAGCCGTTCCTGAGATCTGGAAGCGGCATTCTGCACGTGCGCACGTGCAAACGGGGTCCAAACTGACTTGCACGGCACCCTACTAACTGGTCCCCAACCGTGTACCAAATTTGAGCGCAATCGGCCCAGCCGTTCTCGAGATCTGGAAGCGCCCCCTGCACGTGCGCACGTGCAGTAGCACCTTAACCGCAACACATGGGAATGCATTGTCTGGTGGGTGCCTACCTGTTTGCCAAGTTTCAGCGAAATCGCCCCGGTAATTACCGAGTTATTAAAATGGGAACAAATTTGACACCTCTTATTGTTGTATTTTGCACGTGCAGTGGGGGTCACTGACATAGATCAAGAGTATCCGACCTTTGGTAGAAGGGATGCAGCTACCCTACAAAAATTACCGCAAGACAATTGCCCAAGCGGCTGCTGAGATATGAGCCTCTCAAAATCACTACTTTTTCAAAACAGCTTGAACACCCTTGGCTTTTCACGTGGCACGTGCCACGACGGTCACTGAGATGTATCAAAAGTAGTCAATTACGGGGTAGAAGGGATGGGGCTACCCAGCAAAAAAGACCGCAGGCCAATCGGTCCAGCGGTTGCTGAGATATAAGCCTCTCAAAAGCGTTACAGGCCGGGCCGGGCCGCTCATACTGAGATTTTTCCCTTATATTGAAAAGACTTCGCTTCGCTCGCTGCGCTCGCTCGCTCGTAATAATCCCTAATTTATGTAAACGTTCCTGAACTAATAATCTTCTCTTTTCCACAGATCTGCCAGCGCCAGAAGGAGGGCTGGACCACCGTCCAGGACCCGCAGAACCGCATGGGCCCCTACGCCTACAAGGGCAACCAGTGGGTGTCGTTCGACGACAGGGACTCGCTGCGCTTCAAGACCCAGTGGATCAAGGAGCGCGGTCTGGGCGGAGGCATGATCTGGGCGCTGGACCTGGACGACTTCAACGGTGTGTGCTCCCAGGGCAAGTACCCGCTGCTGACGGTGATCGCCGACGGCCTCAACATCAGGGGCGGCAGTGGCGAGACTGGCATGGCAATGACTACTGCGGCCCCAGCAACAACGGCCCCGACTACTATGGCTTCCACTACCATGGCCACGACCACCAAGGCGCCGGTGTCCTCAATGACAGAGACAATGGCAGTAAGTCGCAGCATCGTACACAAATGCAGCATTACACTAATACTTCAAAACTATGGCAACTACGTTAATATGCCATATATCAATTACAATGCTTTTTATCTGGAATTACTGCATTCTCAAGACAATCACAGATGCCAATTTGCCAATCATAGACAGCACAGTGAGAGATGCCTACATGTCAAGTGTTACACTTTGAAATAGTCCTGTGACGACTACGTGATTTAATCTGAATTTTCTATTGCAGGCTGGTGGACCATGTTCGAACGTTGGAGCGTACATGCCCCACGAATACTGCGACAAATACATGCTGTGCACACCTGACAAGGTATACGAGACGTTCTCGTGCCCGTCATCCCTGCACTGGGACGCCAAACACGAGGTCTGCAACTTCCCCGAGTCAGCCAAGTGCACTGGCAAACTCTTGGAAACGTCCCAGCCAGAATCAATGGTGAGTATGGCATGTAGCGGCAAGCATGCTGAAACAATATGGGTAAAACATGATTGATAACATACCGTTCATTACTTTTTCCCACTAAAATGAACATTGGCTACGATTTGAAAAAGGCAATGTGTGTGTTAAATTCGGGATTGGCTAGCTTCGCAGATGTAACAAATGGTAAACGGTAGTAGCCAAAAGAAAAAGCATTAACTAGCTTGCAGTCTTCTATGGACCAAAACTTATGTGTTATCTAATCATGCAACTACTTTTCGAGCTATCCCAAAATCTTTATCATTCTAAAGCAGAAGCATTTCTCATTTATCTAACTGCTGATCATATGAATGTCTCGCTCGTTTACAGAAACCGGACATGGGAATGGAAAAGCCTGACATGGGCATGGAAAAGCCTGACATGGAAATGGAGAAGCCTGATATGGGCATGGAGATGGGCATGGAAAAACCCGACATGGGTATGGAGATGGGCGTAGAGAAACCAGACATGGGTATGGAGATGGGCATGGAGAAGCCCGACATGGGCATGGAGAAGCCAGACATGGGTATGGAGATGGGCATGGAGAAACCCGAAATGGGTATGGAGATGGAGTATGAGGGTCCTGTCAAGTTTGGTCCCTTCCCGCCGGCCGCTAAGGATCAGTACATGGTGGTGTGCTACTTCACCAACTGGGCCTGGTACCGGCCCGGCGAGGGCAAGTACAAGCCGGAGGACATTGACGTCAGTCTGTGCACGCACATCATGTACGGATTCGCCGTGCTCGGCCAGAACGGTCTGATCCGTCCGCACGACAGCTGGGCCGACCTCGACAACAGCTTCTACGAACAGGTGACCGCGCTCAAGAGCAAGGGCGTCAAGGTGGTGCTGGCGCTGGGCGGCTGGAACGACTCGGCCGGCGACAAGTACAGTAAGCTGGTCAACAACCCCGAGAGCCGGCGCAAGTTCGTCCAGCATGCCGTCGAGTTCGTGGAGAAGCACAACTTCGACGGTCTCGACTTGGACTGGGAGTACCCCAAGTGCTGGCAGGTGAGAACCGTGGGCATCTCACGTCTTAAAAGACAGGGCAATGCTTTAAAGTTTGTCATTTATCATGAGTCAAAATATCGGCACTCCTCTTAAATAGTGATCTATCTCAGTCACGTCACGATACTTCCTTCCGTGAGATGTTTTTATTCTTCTGGATTTCTGAAGGAGAGAAGTTTTAATTGAATGCTACCATTAATAAGATGCAGAACTTCTCGATGACATCCATATTCACAAACGCCTTTGGGACACAGGTGAACTGCGACAAGGGCCCCGCGTCGGATAAGGACGCCTTCAGCGCCTGGATCAAGGAGCTGAGCGAGGCGTTCCGGGCCCGCGACACCCCGCTGCTGCTGACCGCCGCCGTGTCGCCCAACAAGAAGGTCATCGACCAGGGTGAGTACAGGGCGATGCAGGGATGCATTCGGAGGGTTCAAAGGTGGCAGTATTTACCGTTCTGCAGCGTGCAATTGAAAGCGGCCTTCATAACTGGCGACTGACGTCGTGTGCCCAGTCAATCAGCGTAGCGTTGTGAGGTCGATTAAACATACCACTGACAAAACCTGTCTGCTTGCTTCCAGGATATGACGTTCCGATGCTCTCCAAGTACCTTGACATCATATCTGTGATGACTTACGATTACCACGGTCACTGGGACAAGAAGACCGGACATGTTGCTCCGATGTATCACTATCCGAGCGATGAAGTGGAATTCTTTAATTCGGTAAGCAGGTTCATCAACCATTGGTTCGGAATTCGGATATTGTCTTAAAAACACTAGCTGACCACCGATCTTCTTAATTTAGAGACGTTTTCGTAGCAAGTAGCTTAACGAACCAGATGACAATCCAACCTGTTTGAGCTCGTCTCTGAATGCAATATAATCAGGAATTTTAGGGGGTGGGGGGTGTCAACAAATGACGTACAATCACTCGTCAAGAGCCAACTATAACGGCATTCTGCGTCTTCCCGCAGGACTTCACCATCAAGTATTGGATCGAGCAGGGAGCCGACAGGAAGAAGATCGTCATGGGTATGCCCATGTACGGCCAATCGTTCAGCCTGGCTGATAACAGCGTCAATGGCCTGAACGCTCGCTCTTACGGCAAGGGCGAGGCTGGAAGGTTCACCAGGGCCGGCGGCTTCCTCGCCTACTACGAGATCTGCCACAAGATCAAGTCTGGCGGCTGGACGGTGGTGAAGGACCCCAAGAAGCGGATGGGCCCGTACGCCTACAAGGGCAGCCAGTGGTTCTCGTTCGACGACGCCGACATGATCCGATACAAGTCCGAGTACATCCGCCACATGGACCTGGGCGGCGGCATGATCTGGGCGCTCGACCTGGACGACTTCCGCAACCGGTGCGGCTGCGAGGCGCACCCGCTGCTGCGTACCATCAACCGGGTGCTTCGTCAGGAGCCGGAGCGGCAGGAGGACTGCGACGTGGGCGGCATGGTGGTGCAGGCCGCCGAGCCGCCGCCGCCCGGGTCCCCGGGCGCCACCACCACCACTACCACCACGCCCAAGCCGCCGCCGCAGCCGCCCACGGTTAGTAGAGCGGCACCCACAGCCAGCTACGCAACGGGAGTGTGGTGTTCTGCAGCACGGAGCAGGATTTATGACTTAGAAAATGCTGATCAAGTAGCAGTGCATCAACCTTTGTATTGATGAGTGGGTTTTGAAGTTTACCAAGCCTTTAATGTCTATGACACCATGATACTCTGATGCCAATCGCTCGGTTTTGTGAATGCCTGTCTCATAAACTCATTATTTCCGCAGACCGGTGGCAAGTGCTCACGGCAGGGCGAGTACCGGCCTCACGTCGACTGCGAGAAGTTCCTGGTGTGCAACAACGGCGAGTACTTCGTGCAGTCGTGCGGCGGCGGCCTCAAGTGGAACGCCTTCTCCGACAACTGCGACCACGCCCGCAACGTCGACTGCTCCCGTGGAGACATCGAGGCAGCTAGCGCCGCGGCCGCGTCCACCAAGGCGCCGGACACCGCGGTGAGTGGAAGACGTTTCGCAGGCAACAAATAGTGTCTTTGCCTAGAGTGGCACAAAATACTTTCCTGTCACGATAATCTTTCCCTAAAAGTCGCAACACCATATACAGGAATGTTGCTGTCTACGGTCACCGAACAGAAAACGAGCTTTGCACAATAAACCGTGATTGTGAGATGCCCGATCTTTTCCAGCTCGAAATCAAGGCTGAGCCGTCGACCAGTGACCCGGCGGGTACCCCGGCGTATCCTGCTCCTCCACCGTCGACCACCGAGACGCCCATGCCTTCGACCACCGAGGCGCCCATGCCTTCGACCACCGCGGAGTCCGCCAGGCCGGCCACCACGGCCGCGCCAGCCATGCCCGAGGGAACTAGGGTGAGCTCGCAGCACGTGATCCGGTACAGATTCGATGGTCCGAATAATTGTGAAAACTAGCTTCCCGTATAGGTTACGGTTTATGCTCTCAAGAGACGTGCAAAGTTACCTTTTTCCTTTTGATCTATACATGATCACGAGGAAAATAAATGCAACCTGATCATTTGAATGACAAATTAGTAATCCTTTGCACCCGAGTTAACATTTCATAGCAAAATGACGTGGCTATTTTCTCAGGAGCTGGAGGTCGGAGCCGCGTGTGACAAGGTTGGCGAGAAGATGCCGAGTCAGACCGAGTGTGACAAATTCTTCACGTGCGTCAACAACGAACTCCAGGAGACGTACTGTCCGCCAGGCACTCACTACAACAGGGTACGTAGGCCGCCGCATCGTTCCAGCTTCAGTATAATATCATTTAGCAAACTATATCAGCATCGTAAGACTATTGTCGGCCAAATCCTTCGCACGAATCTGCCGCCAGTACGGTGTCTTCCTCGCGAAACTGTCATATTCATTTGTCTGTGGCCCCTCCGGCGTCTTTCTCACGGACCCCGTCGCCCGCAGGAGACCACGCAGTGCGACTGGCCCGCCTCTGCCAAGTGTCCGTTCGCCGAGCAGCCGGCGGCGCCGGCTGGCGGCAGCGCCCCGGTCCAGTCGGGCGTCTCGCAGGCCATGGTGACCACCACGCCGACCGTGCCGACGAGCTCCACCGAGGCCGGCACCGCCGCCGACACCGGCTACAAGGTGGTCTGCTACTTCACCAACTGGTCCTGGTACAGGTGAGCGCACAGGGCGACGACGGCGCGGCCGGGCCGCAGCAGTAACGAAATCCCGCGAAAGTGGGGTCTGAGAAAGGGCAGTCTGAGAAACTTGCCGCGCTTTCTTGTCACGCAGTTTGCCGATAAAACGATGACAGCCAAATTTGGTGACTATAGTCACTTTACCAACTAATTGTTGTAAGGAGTAGCCGATAGGTTGCCGAGTGAACTCCAACGATCCTAACCAGATTAACAGAATAAGTAACGGTCGTATCTGAACCGTTTCATTTGTTTTTTTTTTCAGACGCGGCAAGGGCAAGTACTCGCCGTCGAACATTGATACGGAGCTCTGCACCCACATCGTGTATGGATTCACCGTCCTGCACCCCACCGAGTACACCATCAAGACTCACGACCCGTGGGCTGACATTGACAACGGTGAGTACTGTACGGTTAGGATTTGTGCGAGGCTATGTGCAAGGCCGGTGGTCCGGGAGGGTGGAGACATATCTGGCATCGGTGCAGAGCTGACAACGTTGCCGGACGTCTATAAGAAAGGCAAACATTTTCATCCGAGAAAAAAAAACGTGAGCAGTAACATGCATCAAAAGTACAATATTTTTAACGTTGTCATGGTTTAAATACTTAAATGCTGCATAAGGCTACATAAAGAATATAATAAGCGTTGCTAATGTGTCACAAATTGAAGGTGACGCTAATCCTTAATTTTGGCAGAATTCTACCTGAAGTTCACGCGCCAAAAGGGCCCGAGGACGAAGGCCATCTGCGCCATTGGCGGTTGGAACGACTCCCTGGGCAACAAGTACAGCGTCATGGTCAACAGCCCGGCGCTGCGCAAGAAGTTCATCCACTCGGTGATGGTGTTCCTGGAGAAGTTCAACTTCGACGGCCTGGATCTGGACTGGGAGTACCCGGCCTGCTGGCAGGTGGGTGGTGTGGTCGAAGCTCTTCCCGGCAGAGCTCCAGGTCTTTGATGACTTACAAACCCGAGGAACTAGGATGTGGCAGATGGCTTTTTGGAGAAATGTGTGCGTTCTTGCAATGAAACTTAAAGAAACCATGGCTATATACCAGTCGTTCTAACAAGCAAAAATGCATCAATATCTAAGCAAGGGTTAGTGACTTCAACATCTTCTTAACACGTTTATTCCCGTTCTGACTTCAGGTTAACTGTGACGAGGCACACGCTTCCGACAAGCAGGGCTTTACTGCCCTAATGAGGGAGCTCAAGGAAGCCTTCGAGCCCAAGGGCTATCTGTTGACGGCTGCCGTCTCGCCCAACAAGAAGGTTATCGATCTCGGTAAGTTAAATGTTCAAGTGAGTTTGAATTTGCGATAGGTCTTCCTTGATAAATACAATTTGCCAGCACAAAGTAAAATTAAATACACATTCCACGATCACTTTAATCTTAGTGATGTCTCGTAGCGAAAGCAATGTAGAACCTTATCCATTATTTTGTCGTTCGATATAAAACTAAGGTATTTTCTATACAACATGCACGAGAACGCCGCTTACCCTAACATTAATTCGTAGGATACGAGGTGCCGATGCTCTCCAAGTACCTGGACATCATCAACGTGATGACCTACGACTTCCACGGTCACTGGGACAAGAAGACCGGACACGTCGCCCCGATGTACTTCCATCCGGAGGACGACGTGCCCCACTTTAACGCCGTAAGTAATGCCCCATGCTTAGACATTCAGTTAAATGAACACTAAGTCGGTAATCGACCGTTAGTTCGACTTCGCTGTTGCTAAGCTTCTTTCCGAAGTTGAGTCATTGCATTAGAAAACAAGTAACTTTCACGTTTTATCAAAAGACCATTGCGACCCAGACAAGTCAAGGGACGGGCATCACTGTAGAGGGTCGCCTCTCAAGTCGCATCTAACCTTCGCCGATTTTCCGCCGCAGAACTTCACGATGAACTACTACATCGAGAAGGGCGCCGACCCCAAGAAGATGGTGATGGGCATCCCCATGTACGGCCAGTCGTTCGGCCTCACCGAGGCCAGCAAGCACGGCCTGAACGCCAAGTCGTACGGCAAGGGTCGGGCCGGCAAGTACACACGCGCCGCCGGCTTCCTTGCCTTCTACGAGGTCAGTACCACCGCCCGAGAGCCAGTGAGGCATACCGGAGAGAAGTACTATATGTGCGAGTCTTTTAGGACTAAGCGATCTCTTTACACCTTATTCTCTTTATATTCTTCAAATGAATATTCAAGTTTTTAAATGCAACGCTAATCCCGAACGACATCCGTACGCACGCACGCCACTGACACTTGGTTATTCGATTAGGCATTCGCTGTCCCGGCGAGCAAGAACAATGCGTTCAGGACCGAGGACGATAAAGATCAACGAGCTTTCCCGGGCTTCCCGGTGACGTTGCTTGAACCTCCCCGCTATTGGTATCTTGGCATACTAACGCGTCTTTTCTTTCCGCAGATCTGCGACAAGGTGCAGAGCGATGGCTTCACTGTGGTCAAGGACCCAGAGAACCGCATGGGACCGTATGCTTACAAGGGACAAGAATGGTTCTCATACGACGACAGAGCCATGGTTAAACAAAAGGTAAGAAAACCACGACAAGCTAGATAACACAGTAAAATCGGTTAGTAATCATTAATGAGTCTAAAATGGTTTAGCTTGCAAGCAACGCTTTAGGGGTTCCGAGTTCTGTGCATTTATTACGTTAATATGCAAATTGCAAAGAATGTCACTTTGCGAGGCATCTGACAAGTAAACAGTCCAGTTTTCACCCATCAAGTGTGACGGCCCTCCCCAACTTCCCGTGCCCATCATAAGCCTCCCTGACCGCGCCCATCTGCTCTCCCCAGTCTCAGTACATCAAGGACATGGGTTTGGGCGGCGGTATGATCTGGGCTCTGGACCTGGACGATTTCCGCGGCACCACGTGCGGCTGCGAGCCCCACCCCCTGCTGCGCACCATCAACCGGGTGCTGCGGGGCTACTCCAGCCCGGAGCCCACCTGCAACGTCTGAGACCCGCTCTGGCGACCCCACGCGCCCTCGGGGGGCCGCCGGCGACCTGACGACCCAGACGGAGTCGCAGGAGCCAGCCGGAGCACCCCGCGGGGCGAGGGGCGGCCGAGGGGCGGAGTGAAACGAAAGGCATTCATACTTACTCAGCGCGCAATGTGTCATGCGACGTGAAGTGACGTGGAACCTGTGGCATTATTACAGCAGGAGGGGGACTGGGGATATGTGGGATTGAGACGAGTGTTGACTGTATCATGAACGACCGCTGTGAGACTATTTCCTGTGAACAATCACTGCTCTTCAGCCTGGCCCCATGGCGCCACTTTGTTACAAAACGGTCGGTGATCAGGGCCGCCGTCCTCCGATCATTGTAAGGTTGAGCGGGCACTGCCATCCACCCAGTCGCCTCTCTCTGTATCACAGTGCAGGGCTTAGGCAATGTGCATCATTACATTCAGCTGTCTGTCTCGGACCTCTTGCGCCCGACAACTCATGTAGCAGTGAAGATATCACCCTAGTGCCCTCGAAAGTGTGTCTCACCAAGACGTTTGTGTTCCTTATGCGACATGATGACAAAAACATGGTGTATGATGTCAGCGAAGTGAGTCGAATAAACGTGGAAGCATCACGACCACAACAATGTTCTTTTGAATGCATTTATGGAGGCAGACACCAAAGAAAACATTACACATAAAATTAAAAAAGCAATTAAGCAGCCAAATGAAAAGGCGACAAAAAGTCGAAACTCGCATGAGGAAAGCAGGCTGAGGCAGCAGTTATCTGCACTATAAAAACCAGTATAGCGCCTTTTGGGGCGAGTAACGGAGCGAGCGAGAGGGTGAGCCTTGCACGTGCAAAATTTCGAGGGGGTACCTCCAACTGACTTGTGCACGGCACCCTACTAACCGGTCTCTAGTGATGTGCCAAATTTGAGCACAATCGGCCCAGCCGTTCTCGAGATCTGGAAGCGGCACCCTGCACGTGCGCACGTGCAAAATGGGTCCCAACTGACTTGTGCACGGCACCCTACTAACTGGTCCCTAACCGTGTACCAAATTTGAGCGCCATCGGTCCAGCCGTTCTCGAGATCTGGAAAAGACCCCTGCACGTGAGCACGTGCAGCAGCATCCCAACTCTGGCACATGGATATGCAGTGCCTAGTGGGTGCCTACCTACATGCCAACTTTCAGCGCAATCGGCCAAGTAGTTACCGAGATATTGCAACAATTACAAAACTGACACCTCTTCGTTTTGCACGTGCCACGTGCATAAGGGGTCACCCACATGCATCGGGAATAGTCCAATACTTGGTAGAAGGAATGAAGCTACCCTACAAAAATTACCGCATGTAAATCGGTCAAGTGGTTGCTGAATAAGCCTCGCAAAAGCGTCCGCACGGCCGGCCGGCCGCTCATACTCAGAAATTTCCGTTAATCTAAGGAAAGACTCCGCTCACTTCGCTCGCTCCGTAATCACACTAAGGTCGACAGTACCGTCAGTGTCAATACAAAACAAATACATATTCACACCTACCTTTGGCGTATGGTAGTCTTCCACAATGCGCGAATGCTTCGCCGAGGAGTCACCGGGGTCACCTGAGGGAAGACAGAGTATATTTGAAGTTGAAACTCGTCACCAGTAATTCAAAGACACGTCGTTGGCTCGGCTTCTGGGTATAGTAGCCAGTAGGTGTACCCAAACTTAGTGGGAAGGAAATGTGTCATCTGTATCACATAGCATATAACCTAACCAGGATTTTTTTCATGGCAACCAGAACAACGATAGGATGATTGAACACTATAACTCTGTGTTCGTGTAAAAATAAGCTATCTGCCACCTCATTTATAAGTTTATTTGATCACTGGACTGCGCATGGTTCATCACACTTTACAGACGGCAACTGTGAACAACTTAAGTTTCGAGCGAATGCGTATCAAGTATTACGGATACCTAGCATACCCACTTTAAATCAGAGGCAGCGAAAAGTATTTTTGATGGTGGCGCAGCAGCTTCTTACAGAACCCGGATATGGCCCCGTCGCCGGACCCCAGATGCCAGCGACGGGGCCTATGAGTCTTGATGTCACGAGAAGCCGGCGTAGTGGTTCAAGAACCAATGTAGAACCGTCACCAGGCCCCAGAAGCCTGCATGGGGACCGTCAATAGCCCCGTGAGGGCCTTCAGAGGCGGTCGTGGAACCCTCAGGGGCCGCCGAAGGGGCCACAGGACCAGGGGCTTCAAAGAGCCGGCTGGGGGGTCTAACAGACGGCGCGGGCCCTCAGGAGCCGGCTTGGAATCCCCCAGACCAAGGAAACCGGCGTGAGGCCTTTGCAGCGGCAGCGGCAGCGCGAGGATCTCAGAGGCCGTCACAAGGGCTCTCAGAGGCCAGCGAAGGGCCTCAACTCAGCAGCCTGCGGGCTGCGCGGGAGCATCAAAAGCAGGTGTGAGGCCCCAGCAACTGGTGTGGGGCGAGAGAGTGAGAGTGAGAGTTAGAGTGAGTGAGTGAGTGAGTGAGTGAGTGAGTGAGTGAGTGAGTGAGTGAGTGAGTGAGTGAGTGAGTGAGTGAGTGAGTGAGTGAGTGAGTGAAAGAGAGAGAGAGAGAGAGAGAGAGAGAGAGAGAGAGAGAGAGAGAGAGAGAGAGAGAGAGAGAGAGAGAGAGAGAGAGAGAGAGAGAGAGAGAGAGAGAGAGAGAGAGAGAGAGAGAGAGAGAGAGAGAGAGAGAGAGAGAGAGAGAGAGAGAGAGAGAGAATGCATTCAATGATAGAACGGGCCCTTTGAAGGTCAGCTTGCGCATTTAGGAAGTGTATGTACAAAGATGTGTTCATCCCACGCTTTCGGATGCGGATGCAGTTGCGGATGCGTATCGCCGCCCCACTTTTATATCATTGTTCCACTGGTAAACTACAGGCTTCTACATTGCAGGAACAAATAACACCCATTTGTGCATGCTCACTGACAGATCCAGAGGGGGGGGGGCAATCTGGGGGGGGACAGATCCATTTGGGGCAAATCCCCCCCCCCCCGCAGCGCAAGCGCCCAAAATCAACATAATGAAAGATTTGCGGTGTTTCGAGGATAAAACGAAAACCAAACAATTTTTATGAGGCAGTGTCTGCTTTGCACTGTACAGCGATGCGTAAGGAACCGAAAACCTATTACTTTTTTAATTTGAATACCCCCCGGAGAGACCAATGCCGCCTTTCCAGATCCGCCAGTGTGCGTGCACATTCGCCAATATGAAGTACTCACGCTTTGACGTTTGGGATCACATCGCGAACTCTAGCCCAACTCCAGCCGACAGCCCAACGCAACACACGTCACCAGTCACCAGCAGTCAACACCAGCACCAACACCCCCAAGCACACGCACAACACAACCGCCGCCCTCGCCACGATCACGCGTATATAGTATTCTATGACCGTGGTATATAGGGCCTTGGATCACGCGTTGCTAGGCGACTGGGGTGATTCCGCGTCCTACGGACAGGTGGCGGCACTTGCCGGCCCTCCAGCACGAGGCGCGGGATGAGGGGTGAGGGGGGACGGGGTGATCGGGGGTGATCAGCTGTTCTCAGGAGACAGGAGCCGGCGCGCTTCGCGCCGTAGGCCTTCCCCGCGCCCGCGCCAGTCCCCCGCGCGGGCTGAGGCGTTGTTGGTGAACGTCGGTCGTTGTGTTGTGGTTGTGTAGTACGATTAGCATCAGGTTGTGCGTGATACCCACATAGCACGGAAGGCGTCAGTGAAGTTTGCGGGCTGAGACGCCATAAAAAGGTGAGTTATTAAACATCCTAGTTTTGTGAGCTCCACTGGCGGATCCAAGGGGGGGGGGGGGGGGCAACCGGGCCAAAATCAGGTTTAGGGGGGGGGGCAAAATGGGATTTGGCCCCCCTTTCTGCAACTGATTTCACCCCTGTAAAATCGCCTCTTGCTCTGGGACGCGATCGGCAACATGTGACAAATAGGGTGGTGGCCCTATCGTAGCACGTTGAGTCGGGAGGTGGACGTTTCGGTAGCAATGACAGAATCGCAAATTTCTTAGAGGCATGAATCATGATTACTTATACTTGATCTGGTGACCTGCCCTTGGGTGACCTAGGGTCAAAATCTTAATTCTTATGCCCGATGGAAAATATATAATCAGCTGTGCTAAGTTTCGCGGAGCTGCATGTTGTTGTTTTCTTGACTTACGTTACGCAAAAACCTGGAGTATGGCCAGATCCCACCCGGCCCTTTCCATCAGGGCGAATATCAACCCAAGATACCTACCTGCTGGGGCTCCTGGATTTCCACGCTATGCTGGGGGGGGGGGGGGGGTGTTTGAACACGGGAAAGGCAGCGTTCGAAAGAGTGTCAAAATAATGACGAAATTAATCTGGTCATATTTTGGTCAGGTCAAAGGTCAGATCACTAGACCCCAGAGGTCATCGAAGGCCAAATTTTCAGGCTGAAAGTCAACAAGTTTTAACAAACCGGCGCATAACTCGGAAACCAATAGAGTTACAGTGCCCCGGAAAAACGTATTTTATAGCCCTATTTGCGCTCTTTCTGGAAAATTCTTTCAGATTTGACCCAAGGACAACGGTTTTACCTGCAGGGGGAAAAACTGGCAAAATAGACGATTTTTGCGGAAACAGTTTTTCTGCAATAACTTTTGACTCAAACTTTGCACGAGGTCACTTTTACGGTGGACGGTGAAAACAGGACGCCGTAGGGTACATACCTACAGTCAATTGACCATCAAGAAGTTCTCTCCCTCCCTATTCCTTCCACACGCCACTTGTCACGTGCTCTATCCAAGTGAATTTCAATAGTCTTGATCAAATCGCCCCAAGCGCCCTGTTTTTACCGTCCACCACTTTTACCGGCATCGTGTTCCTCTCGTCAAGAAACATCGAATGAACTATAATTTGACCTCGAAAAGCCAACCTGAAAATTCGACCTCAGGTTAAGGCCATGACCTGACCGGAAAAGGTCATGCTGCCTTCAGTCGATCCTTATTGTCGAGCTGAATACACCTAAGGCGTTTTCATCGCTCTAGTATGCCTCTATGAAAAGTTATTCGCGAAGAACTGTTAGATTCCTTTCGTGACGTGAAATGACCTAAGGGACATTAAGAGGGGTCACGGGAGCCATTTTCCAGTTCATCGTGGCATGTTTACTTGTAATTCGGTGTTTTAAAGTATTTTGAATGGCGTTCGTCCAAAAGAGGCGCCTTTCATTTTCTTCCGTATACTTATAATGGAGAGGTCGCAAAATTGACCTGACCTTAGGTCACCAATGTCAGAATTTCGAGATGAAAATTTGGTACATACGGTTGCTCTTATCAATCGCTGAAAGTTTCAAAGCGATCTTTCACTCGGTGTAGCTATGGCAGACATCAAAACTTGTTATGGGGTGAGATCACTTCACGTGACCTGGCGACCTGACCTGAGTGCCCTCGGTCTGAAGTTTACACATATGCAGACAAGATGTATGATCAAATTTGCCAGAAATACCAGGAATGCCAGAAATAACCCGCGCTCCAGCATGGCGCGGGTTAAACTTACCATGTAGCATGTTTTTTTTTTTTCGAGGTGGGGTGGGTAATCGGTGCACCCTAAGCCTCAGTATGGAGTTTTGAATGGGCTCGGAAAGTGGCCGGTTTTGGCCCCTCCTTTTGAAAATGGCTGGATCCGCCCACTGAGCTCGCACATTGATATGGCCGCTCAGACCAATCATGAGCCAAACCGCTGTAAGGTCTCGCACAGCGACGGAGGACCGTCTTACGCTACGAACAAAGTGAATGTGTAAAACAGAACAATAAAAACTGCTGATGAATAAATATCCTGATCTTGCTGGAATAGCCCAATTTGCTTTTGCGGTTTTCTTTATAATTTACCTACTGAACAATGGTACAAGGATAGTTGGAAGGTGGCTTGCATGCATACCGCATAGCCACCTTTTTTCCATTCGACTGGTCATGTTTCATACGAGCAATAAAATTGGTCAATGACAAAATTTAGCATCTTGTAAATTGTTGACATGAATGTTTCCATACGTTTGGCTTTCATCATTCATGGCATTATTCTTGTGATCTGTGAAGTTTTGTGGTTCCAAAACATGGCTCGCCTCGGTGATATCCCGGAAGTTCCTCAGTTCGGCAGTAATATTTCCGTCCTTCCGGCGCCCTTTGGGTATTGGGTTACCGAAACCCGCAGTGCAGCGCAACCTTGAGCGCAACTGCCTTTATTGAAGCGGCTCTCAATTTCATGAAGGCTTCGTGCCTGGAGGCAATCAATTGTGTCGTCATGGCAACGCCCGTAGGGCCTGGCGGCCGGATAAGGCGGCAGCTCTTGGGCAGCTCCGATCTCGGTTAGCAGCAGGGTTGTGCTTGACTCATGAGTCGAGTCAGAAATTTGACTCAACTCTGACTCAAATGAGTCAGTTTTGAGTCGAGTCGGATAAAATGTTGAGCTGTTGAGTTGAGTCAGAGTTGAGTCGGACAAAAATATTAAGGCGTTGAGTTGAGTCAGAGTTGAGTCTGTAAAATAACTTTTGACATTGAGTTGACATTGTGGAATTTAGGAACATGAGTCAACTGACTCAACTTTCTAGAAGCAATGTATTTTCATTCCCCCCCGCTTAACAACTTAGCCCTGGCCCTGCTGCCGGATTTTTTTCACCCCCCCCCCCCGCTCAACAACTTTTTTATCTGAGTCAATTTTGAGTCAACTCACTTGACTCAACAAAAATTTGAGTCAAGTTTGAGTCGACTAATATTTTCATTGAGCCGCTTGAGTCATGAGTCGAGTCAAGGGAAAAATCAGCTCCTTGTTTGAGTCAGAGTTGAGTCAGGGCTTTCTGAAGTTGAATGATGAGTCGAGTCGGCAATTTTTTTTAGTCGAGCACAACCCTGGTTAGCAGCCAGTGACGGAGGCGGCGGAACAGGCTGCCGAGCTGGCGCCGTCGGTTCGGCCGGGCCACTAAACCGAGCACGATTGATAGTGCCGGTCGGAGATACCACTGCATGGTAGCGACACGGCCGTTGCGTGTTGCGCGTGGCATAGGGACGAGCCGCAGGTATCTCAGCATACCTACCCTGAGTTAGTTCTGCGCTGGACAAGGTGCTATGTCTGAGACTGTTTGAATTCATTGGCCTGTAGCGGCCCTGAATTTTGATGGGATATGTACTGTGGTAATGTGAATAACGGCTGCTTATTTGAAACTCATGAGGTCCGGCAACGAATTGTGATTTTGCATTGGCTCCGGGCTGTTAACCCTATTCCTGGCGGGGGGGGGGCCTCAGGAGCCCCCCCGCTGAGGTTTTTTGGTTATATCTCCCAAACGCGTTGAGCTAGGAAGCTCAAATTTTCTGACTTTTCCTAAAAGGCTTCTACGCAACATGTCTGAAAATTTTGAGTTGATCTGACCTCAGGTCAGGTCACCAGAGGCGGTTTGGTGACGCTACCTCAGAAAAGTTTGCAATCACGCCAGAGCTAGAGTTTTTGACCGATCAATTTCTTCTCCTCAGGGTTTAGTTAGGGTACCAGTATGTGCAATTTGTATATCTCGGAATTTTGATATCGGTGACCTAAGGTCAGGTCAATTTCGCGACCTCCCCATTATAAGTCAATGGGGGAAAAATCAACTCCCTGTTTTTACCACTAAAACGGGTCGGAATGGCCCCATATACCATACATGACTTCATATACGATCAACCTTCACTACCTTGAGGTCTGTTTTGCTGTTGGGCAGCTGTGAGGTCATGTGACGTCATCAAAGGTCACCAAAGGTTTTTGGCCAATAACTCCGTACAGGAACAAGATACAGACGCGTGGATGGTCTCATTGTGTTCAGCTCGTCAAGACGCATCGAATGATATACATGATGACCTCGAGGTCACGTGACCTGAGGTCAACCTTTGACCTTGACCTTTCGAGGTCAACATATATATCATTCGATGCGGATTGACGAGAGGATCACGATGATGCCCTTAGTTTGTTCCTATCTTGACTAATTCGAAAGTTATTCGAGAAAAACTCTCTCCATATCTAGTGCCGCCATTTTGACTTTTTCGACCCCTGTGACGTCATCTTTGACCTGACCTGAAAATGACCTTAGTAAAAATTGTAGATCTTGGCCGTGCGTATCCGATGCCGTTTACCGCTTGTCGCTATCTTGCTTCGTTCTCGAGATCTCAGGGGGGGGCCGAATCGCCCCCCCCCCCGCCAGTTTCTTGTCCCGGCGGAGCCCGCCAGGAATAGGGTTAAGACGGATCTTTTTAAACGAGTTTTAAGAAGTAAGCATGCCCCTTTGGCCTGGCCCGCTTGGAGTGCTGGATGGGGATGGGAACAGACTGAAAGGCGAGGCGACCTTCGAGTATTTTTAGAGTATTTTTATTTATATGTTTCAATTAATTGATC